TAATAATAATAATAATAATAATAATAATAATAATAATAATAATAATATCTAAGCTATAAGAAACTATCAGTGGACATGATAATAACATCTGTGCTACAGCTTCTTCAAATGTGTCACATCTCTAGAACAGAAAGAATGGGACCCAACTTTAATCAAATATTCTTTGAGAAATCCAGTAGATCCCAAAAGTATTTTTTAATAAATCAAGTGAGTGTTTTAAATTGTTTAAATGTTAAATACTTAACATTTCTTCAAAGATTATTGTTCATTCCCAGCTGCCAATACTGAGCAACATAGCCTGCTTGGAAAGGAATAGGTTGAAATCTAGACAACCAGCCATGAGCCATCTCTACTGCTAAAGCATTTGTAAAAGATGATTTCAACACTCACAATATGTGGAATCAACACAGGATAGAAAATTGTCCCCCACAATGACGAAGCTTTCCCTGCATCCTGGAAAAACCTGGATTTGACCTGCCCTGCGCAATATGGACAACATCGAACCATATTCGCACTGGTCATTGTAGATGTGCAGATGTCCTCTACAAGAAGGGCAAAATACCATCACTGAATTGTGATTGTGGGGCTGAAAAACAAGCTATCCAACACAGAGTGTCAAAACAGAGCCTATAATGAAGATTTCATTTATTTTCTGGCTGCAGCAAACGGAATAAAAATTATATTTGCAACTTAGGTATTTGTTTGTAAACTTCGTGTTAAGGTTTCAGATTTTATTTTCTAGGTTTTGTAATTTACCCCCGTGTTCCTTTTTACTGAAAAATGATATGAATGTGCTATATGATAAATAAATCTTCAAATCTTAAAGGAACTGATTTTGCAATACAGGTAATCCTTGACTTATGACTGTAATGGAGCCTGGAATTTTTGTCATAAGTCATAACAGTTGTAAGTCTAGGCAGTGGGGGGAAGAGAAAAGCAAGGAAAGTTTCCTTTGCATCTCAAAGATCAATTTTAAGATAGGTGGTTTCGTTTCTGCTCCTATTACCAATAACAAAAAGGTGCCATCAATCCTGGCCAATTAATTAACAGACTGATATGTTATCATAAAAAGTAGGTTTTTGCACCACTCCTGTGGCTTTTAAATCTACAAGACAGTCAGCTTTTTCATTTAAATTAAACTATTAAGCATACATTGAAATACCTCTCATTGAAA